CATACATCTTTAAGTCTTCATGTCACAGTAAGGTAGCATACACCTTCAAGTCTTTTTCACAATAAGGTAGCATACATCTTTAAGTCTTGTGTCACAGTAAGGTAGCATACACCTTCAAGTCTTTTTCACAATAAGGTAGCATACATCTTTAAGTCTTCATGTCACAGTAAGGTAGCATACACCTTCAAGTCTTTTGTCACAATAAGGTAGCATACATGTACATCCTTAAGTCTCCATGTCACAGATAGGTAGCATACATCTTTAAGTCTTGTGTCACAGTAAGGTAGCATACATCATTAAGTCTTGTGTCACAGTACGGTAGCATACATCTTTAAGAATTCATGTCACAGTAAGGTAACATACATCCTCAAGTCTCTATGTCTAAGTAAGGTAGTATACGTCCTTAAGTCTTTTTTCACAATAAGGTAGCATACATTCTTAAGTCTTTATGTCACAGTTATGTAGCATACATCTGTAAGTCTTATGTCAAAGTAAGCTAACATATATCCTCAAGTCTCTATGTCAAAGTAAGGTAGTATACATCCTAAAGTCTCTATGTCAAAGTAAGGTAGCATACATTTTCAAGTCTCTATGTCAAAGTAAGGTAGTATACATCCTGATCAAGTCTCTGTGTCAAAGTAAGGTAGTATACATCCTCAAGTCTCTATGTCAAAGTAAAGTAGCATACGTCCTTAAGTCTTTTTTCACAATAAGGTAGCATACATTCTTAAGTCTTTATGTCACAGTTATGTAGCATACATCTGTAAGTCTTATGTCAAAGTAAGCTAACATATATCCTCAAGTCTCTATGTCAAAGTAGGGTAGCATACATCCTCAAGTCTCTGTGTCTAAGTAAGGTAGTATACGTCCTTAAGTCTTTTTTCACAATAAGGTAGCATACATCTTTAAGTCTTCATGTCACAATAAGGTAGCATACATGTACATCCTTATGTCTCCATGTCACAGTTAGGTAGCATACATCTTTAAGTCTTGTGTCACAGTAAGGTAGCATACATCTTTAAGTCTTCATGTCACAGTAAGGTAGCATACATCCTCAAGTCTCTGTGTCTAAGTAAGGTAGTATACGTCCTTAAGTCTTTTTTCACAATAAGGTAGCATACATTCTTAAGTCTTTATGTCACAGTTATGTAGCATACATCTGTAAGTCTTATGTCAAAGTAAGCTAACATATATCCTCAAGTCTCTATGTCAAAGTAAGGTAGCATACATCCTTAAATCTTGTGTCAAAGTAAGCTAACATATATCCTCAAGTCTCTATGTCAAAGTAAGGTAGTATACATCCTGATCAAGTCTCTGTGTCAAAGTAAGTTAGCATACATCCGAAAGTCTCTATGTCAAAGTAAGATAGCATACATCCTCAAGTCTCTATGTCAAAGTAAGGTAGTATACATCCTAAAGTCTCCATGTCAAAGTAAGGTAGTATACATCCTCAAGTCTCCATGTCAAAGTAAGAAAGTATACATCCTCAAGTCTCCATGTCAAAGTAAGATAGTATACATCCTCAAGTCTCTATGTCAAAGTAAGGTAGTATACATCCTCAAGTCTCCATGTCAAAGTAAGGTAGTATACATCCTCAAGTCTCTATGTCAAAGTAAGGTAGCATACATCCTCAAGTCTCCATGTCAAAGTAAGATAGTATACATCCTCAAGTCTCCATGTCAAAGTAAGGTAGTATACATCCTCAAGTCTCTATGTCAAAGTAAGGTAGTATACATCCTCAAGTCTCCATGTCAAAGTAAGGTAGTATACATCCTCAAGTCTCTATGTCAAAGTAAGGTAGTATACATCCTCAAGTCTCCATGTCAAAGTAAGGTAGTATACATCCTCAAGTCTCTATGTCAAAGTAAGGTAGTATACATCCTCAAGTCTCCATGTCAAAGTAAGATAGTATACATCCTCAAGTCTCTATGTCAAAGTAAGGTAGTATACATCCTCAAGTCTCCATGTCAAAGTAAGGTAGTATACATCCTCAAGTCTCTATGTCAAAGTAAGGTAGTATACATCCTCAAGTCTCCATGTCAAAGTAAGGTAGTATACATCCTCAAGTCTCTATGTCAAAGTAAGGTAGTATACATCCTCAAGTCTCCATGTCAAAGTAAGGTAGTATACATCCTCAAGTCTCTATGTCAAAGTAAGGTAGTATACATCCTCAAGTCTCCATGTCAAAGTAAGGTAGTATACATCCTCAAGTCTCTTTGTCAAAGTAAGGTAGTATACATCCTCAAGTCTCCATGTCAAAGTAAGGTAGTATACATCCTCAAGTCTCTATGTCAAAGTAAGGTAGTATACATCCTCAAGTCTCCATGTCAAAGTAAGGTAGTATACATCCTCAAGTCTCTATGTCAAAGTAAGGTAGTATACATCCTCAAGTCTCCATGTCAAAGTAAGGTAGTATACATCCTCAAGTCTCTATGTCAAAGTAAGGTAGTATACATCCTCAAGTCTCCATGTCAAAGTAAGGTAGTATACATCCTCAAGTCTCTATGTCAAAGTAAGGTAGTATACATCCTCAAGTCTCCATGTCAAAGTAAGATAGTATACATCCTCAAGTCTCTATGTCAAAGTAAGGTAGTATACATCCTCAAGTCTCCATGTCAAAGTAAGGTAGTATACATCCTCAAGTCTCTATGTCAAAGTAAGGTAGTATACATCCTCAAGTCTCCATGTCAAAGTAAGGTAGTATACATCCTCAAGTCTCTATGTCAAAGTAAGGTAGTATACATCCTCAAGTCTCCATGTCAAAGTAAGGTAGTATACATCCTCAAGTCTCTATGTCAAAGTAAGGTAGTATACATCCTCAAGTCTCCATGTCAAAGTAAGGTAGTATACATCCTCAAGTCTCTATGTCAAAGTAAGGTAGTATACATCCTCAAGTCTCCATGTCAAAGTAAGATAGTATACATCCTCAAGTCTCTATGTCAAAGTAAGGTAGTATACATCCTCAAGTCTCCATGTCAAAGTAAGGTAGTATACATCCTCAAGTCTCTATGTCAAAGTAAGGTAGTATACATCCTCAAGTCTCTATGTCAAAGTAAAGTAGCATACGTCCTTAAGTCTTTTTTCACAATAAGGTAGCATACATCCTCAAGTCTCTGTGTCACAGTAAAGTAGCATACATCCTGATCAAGTCTCCATGTCACAGTAAAGTAGCATACATCCTTAATTTTTTTTGTCGCAGTAAGGTAGTACCGGTATTCATTCTGAAGTCAAATATATAGCATTCCCACAAAATGCATGATTTCTGAAAAGCACTGAATTTAATCAAATCTAGTGAAATTATCAGCATTCTTTGCTTTGAGTTTCATGCAGACAAAAATTATCACCCATGCAAAAAAAATATCTAAAAAACTTTATATGATATAAATCACAAATGGCCATAGCATTAATATCAAAGAACCTTAATTCACCTGAGATTTTTGAAACGGATATTATTTCTGTTTGTTTATTTATGCTTTTTAAGAGTCTGGTAAGCTAAAATGAAAAACTTTAGACAAGTTTCATAAATCTCTTTACTAAAATGAAAATTTAGTTCAAGAATCTCATGTAATGGAAGCAAACTTATATTAGATCTCTCTCTCTATATATATATATGTTATTAAACATTTTTGCAAATATTGGGAAAAACGCACTTTCCAGGTCTTAAATTCTGTAATCTGAGATTAAATGTTGATAACTTTATCCGAACCGCGTGAGTCACATGTAAACCTCCCTAAAATCCTTCAAAATATCAATAAATCTTCAATTGCGGCTCTAACAAAGTAATTGGAGGCTTCAGAATAACACAAATGAGATAATACAATGTTATATGTAGTATAATTTATGTTTTAAAAGTCTCACAAATTTCTCACTAATTCAGAGAAAAAATCTCACTAATTTTGACCAAATCTCACTAAAAAAAATCACTGATCTCACTATTTTGCACCGAAAAGTTATGGCATGCATGACTGTTGCCTCTGTATCTATTGTCCCTGTTATGACATCATAATATAATCTTGAAGTCTGTTACATCATTTCCTTAAGATTGATGTCTTCACTGATGTCATAATAGCAGCTCATGTAATTACACAACTTCACATGCCAAAATATGTCTTCATTGTGTATGTTGATTCAATGGTAAAACTGTTTAAGTACTTCATAAACATTGTTCATACTATACAATTCTAGAAAATCACAACTTTTTGACAATTTTTCTAAACAATGGTTATATTGATTCTGTTAAATCTTTTAGTGGCACATGCCCATAGAGCTAAAATGAAGGAGAAACAGAAATTAGCAAGAAAGAAAATCCGTGAAATTAAGAAATCGAAGAAACAGAAAAAGACCCCAGAACCAACTGTTTCGAACAAAGAGGATTCCACATCTGCTGATGAAAAAGGGAAGGAGACAGGAAGTGAGAAAGGGGAGACAGGAAGTGAGAAAGCGAAGGAGGCAGGAAGTGAGAAAGGGAAGGAGACAGGAAGTGAGAAAGGGGAGACAGGAAGTGGAACAGGGGAGACAGAAAGTGGAACGGGGGAGACAGAAAGTGGAACAGGGGAGACAGGAAGTGGAACAGGGGAGACAGAAAGTGGAACAGAGGTGACGGAAACAGAAGGAGCTACGCAGGAAGTTGTAAAGGAGAAAGAACCAGACAAGGACGAAGACGATGACAGCGACGAAGAGGAGGTTGAATCTGACGACTCACAGTTCAAGACCACTGATGGTAAGTGCATCGTTTTATTTCTTATCCCTTTCACCCCTAGGTACCTTTAATAGACTCTACCATGCATTTGTCTGGATGAGTCCATCATGGTCTATGGTGGTGAAAAGGTTAATTAAGGTCAACAAATGTTACATAATCTGGCAACCTCTTATTGATCAAAGTTTGTCTTACACATTGCTAATTTAACTTCGTCATTGAATGTGCAATGCAAGGACATTCATCAGCATCAGATTAATTCTGTCATGCAATTTGGTTCCTAATGATGAGACAAATGTTTAAAATGTTGAAGGTGTTTTGATCGATGTTTAAAAATGATCACGAAAATGAAATCAAATGTTAATCCACCGTACAAATACTGTTAATAAAATTTCTATTTTATACAAGTTTTTGAAACACTAAATTGAGATTTATTTATAATGAAGATGATTTCTATCTTAAGGTTGCCCGATTATGCTGTATTTATTATAATTGTTATCTGGCATTCAACTTCCTGTCTGATGCATGCTGGTTAAACAATACTGTGTGAACCAACTGTAGCTGACCTCTTTCAAACTACTGCACATTTAATGACAAAAAGTCTTTGAAATTTCAAAATAGAGCCGAGTCACTTAATTAATCGTCACCTGCTACATGTTTGGGTTCAAATCAAGGATGGGAGAAGCTGAGTAGTTGATATTAATGGGAATGGAGTGATGGTGGAAGTGCGATCGATGGACCTGAATAGTTAAGCCTTGCAAGGGGTGATGGTTTAAAGTAGCAAGGCAGGTTTTAAGAGTTTAATGGATTTGATTGTTGGGTGTGGTTATTGGATTTGAAGAATGGGTGAAACTGGTCAGAGGTTAACCCCTCCACCCCTATAATCACAATTGAACCTTGCCAAATCAAAGACAGGGTAAGTCCAGTTTAAATAGGTAGGGGTGAATGACGTTAACTCATTCACCCCTGAAATTTTATAATGAACTATTCTAACCTTTGAATTGAAAGAGTTAAAATGTGTCTTCAGGGGTGAATGAGTTAATAAACATGGACAGTAGGTAGAGCTTGGAATGGTTGATTGTGGGGAAAGGCAGAACTATTTAGATTTATTGATCGGAAGGCAGGTACTGTCATTAAAGATGCCAGGAGGGACTGCAGACATAGCAGGGGAACGGATAAGTTGGGTCAGGATGTACATATGTGGATGTTTGTAGTGAATTGTATTTTAAACTTTAACTCATTCATCCCCGAAATTTCATAATGATTTATTCCAACCTTTGAATCGGAAGAGTTCAAATGTGTCTTCAGGGGTGAATGAGTTGAGCCAGCTTAAGAGCAGGGAAATGAGATACTACCAGTACTAGTTGGTTGTTACTCAGATTTGTTTTTCCCTGCTGGGCACACAACTTGCTGGATATTTCTTCTTTTCATCCTTTTACAAACGCACATAATTTTCCTGAAGTATATGTCCAATTTCAGATAGGTTTACAAGTAGGATTCTGATTTTTCTAAACAGAACTCAGCTTAACTTTCCTTTATTCTTTATGTCTTCATTACAGAGCTTCGAAAAGAAAAAGAAAACAATTTCAAGAATAAAATTTTGTTTGATTTTGTGGATTTTATGACGAAAAGAAAGTGTTCAAAATATCATATTTAATATATTTGTTAAAATATGTGAATGTTTCCCTGTGCTATCTGCACGCTAAATTGTATTTTGAAGTGCATTAAAACAAAATCAAATTGCTCACAATATTGAAATGTTTGCTATATATTAATATGTATCAGTTTTGTATGCATTACATCTAGAAATGCATGTTACGAATGCTTTAAGGTACAGAAAATCAGCGAAAATCTGTCTTAAAAAGTATTCAGCATTACTCAGATATTCCAAATTACAGGAGTATTTTGTATGATGAAACAAGTTAAACCAATGTCAATTGCAGATCACAAGGCAATTAAGAGTTATCTTCCTTGATATTCTTGATTTTATTCTACCGACTCAAAGTATCACGGACAAAAGTATAGGCTAATTAATACTACTGTACAAGAGCTAGAGACTCTCCAGTGGATTGGTGTGGAGCTCTTATAAAAAGGAGGTGTATTTGTCAGAATAAAGCAGTAATCGTATCTCTAATACAAAATATTTCTGTATAGAGGATCTGATTTTCTGTTACCTTAGAAAGGTGTATCCACACTTTTCCCGGTCTGGGTTATATTATCCTTGTCTCACCCTTGTCATTGACTTGAGGGGATTCCCCTATTAAAAACAAATGTATGACGTCATGTTAATATATTGACGTCACAACGACAATGCATCAACGTCACGTCACCCTGCATTTAGCCTCTAACATGATACACAATGGGTGAACGGGGTACGAGAAAAACAATCATTCACCCCCTTGTGGTGCGATTGGGAATCTCAACCCCAAGGGGAACGATTCTTAAGTTGTCAAGCACTCGACAAAGCCAAGTGTTTGGCAACTTAAGAATCTTCCCCCTCCGGAGAGATTCTATTGATACTAATACTATGTCTTTATAAAACATAGGTGACTAAGGATCTTTGAAGTCTACATGAGACATACATGTATTATTACATAAACTATTATCTTGTACAAGAAAGATATTTAAAGGAAGTAAAATAAATCTCCTTGATGAACTTCACGTAATTCTGCACCCCTTTGAATTGCTCTTGCAACATCTTTGGCAGTAAATCCTTCAAAATCAGCTTCTTCAGAACTCGTATCAAAATTGAAAATCGGGCCCGCCATGTTATTGATAGCGTTCCATGTGAGTAACTTTCGCAGTAAATTCCTTTGGTTTTCGCGAGGATTGTTTGTCATGTGATCACTCGAATGAATGGAAATTTCCATTCCTGTTTCGTTCGCCAGGGTCGTACATTGTATATCAAATTCAGCCAATCAAAACCGTCGTAACATATTTTCTAAACCAATTGTTAATGTCGCTTATAAGCGACTCTCAGGATATCAAACATGGCGGACAATGTGAGCAGTAGAAAATGGAATGCGTAAAAGCGTCAACAGGGGGCAATGTGAAAAAAATATTTGCCAATTCCACACAAATAGACTTGCATGCTACTGATTTTAAGTGAAATAAAAAAAAATCATAAAGTTGGATAGAGCCATTTTCATTCAACATCTAAAGAAACATTTCAACGAAACTTTTTTTTTTAGCTATGATAATCATGTTATTCACATTTGTTTGTGACAGTTTGATTGACACTAGACATAAATTGGTTGTTCACGTATACACGTGAGTATACAATTAAACTATACTGCCCGGTGTTTTTACTTTTCAAGTGACCTACGTTCGCAATTATGACAAAACCAAATTAAAAGAAATATATACATTCCATGTCTACGTGCTCTAGTACTACGTCATACTCAGATGCAAAAGCTGTTTTGTAAAACTTTCACTTTTAGACGTTGATATGTGGATATGTAACATTATGATGGGGTATTAAGTATGCATGTATATATATAGGAGGAAAACATGCGATTTATCAGCAGATTTCCCAACGTTACAGTGCATTGCAAATATATGAATCTAAAAAGTTACATAATTCAACTGGCTCTTACATCATAATATTTTGTTTTAAATCAAGTAATAGTAATATATGGAGTTTAATTCTGTGTAGCTACTGTGCTGCTGTATTGTCTACTGATATCCTGCTGTATGTCTGCTTATTTCCTGCTGTAATGTCTGCTGAAATCCTGCTGTATTGTCTACTGAGATCCTGCTGTATTGTCTACTGAGATCCTGCTGTATTGTTAACTGAGATCCTGCTGTATTGTTTACTGATATCCTGCTGTATTGTTTACTGAGATCCTGCTGTATTGTCTACTGAGATCCTGCTGTATTGTCTACTGAGATCCCGCTGTATTGTTTACTGACATCCTGCTGTATTGTCTACTGATATACTGCTGTAATATCTGTTTAAATCCTGCTGTTCTGCCTGAAGTCAAGTGGTGCTGTGAAGTTGTCTGTGGAATTCATACTATAATAGCTGCCAATACCAGGCTGGTTAACCCATTTAAGATGTTAATATGCTGAATACATACTTAAATTCTGTTGTGGGTACTTATCATTTAACTATTTACATGGGTACTAATTAGCCAACTATTTAGTAGGTTTCAGTTCTGTGATTCTGTGAATTACAAGTAGCATTGGTGAATGTCTGCTAAAACCTGCTGTAAGTTTATAGCTTTAATCCGCCTAGAAACCAAATGAATTCCTGCTTTGTATGGACTTTTGCTTTTTTTAATTGAATACATTTTGTGTAATTGGCTCTGAACTTGATTTCCACTGAAAGCATGGAGATGGGGAGTTGGGCTTGTTTCCGGGCATAAATGTCCTGCAGGCTGTATTTATATTATGTTTGAATTCCTTGATACCTCATCCAATGTCCTGAAGGCCGTATTTATATTATGTTTAAATTTCTTGATACCAGTCTTCCAATGCTTGGATGTATATAGTTAGATACCTCGTCCAATGCTTGGATGTATACAGTTTTATACCTCGTCCAATGCTTGGATGAATATAGTTTTATACCTCGTCCAATGCTTGGATGTATACAGTTTTATACCTCGCCCAATGCTTGGATGTATACAGTTTTATACTTCGCCCAATGCTTGGATGTATACAGTTTTATACCTCGTCCAATGCTTGGATGTATACAGTTTTATACCTCGTCCAATGCTTGGATGTATATAGTTTTATACCTCGTCCAATGCTTGGATGTATACAGTTTTATACCTCGTCCAATGCTTGGATGTATACAGTTTTATACCTCGTCCAATGCTTGGATGTATACAGTTTTATACCTCGTCCAATGCTTGGATGTATACAGTTTTATACCTCGTCCAATGCTTGGATGTATACAGTTTTATACCTCGTCCAATGCTTGGATGTATACAGTTTTATACCTCGTCCAATGCTTGGATGTATACAGTTTTATACCTCGTCCAATGCTTGGATGTATACAGTTTTATACCTCGTCCAATGCT